TGCATATGAAATCCAATTTTTATTATCTAGAACAAAAGCAGCTAATAAAAATTGGATTTCATATGCAAGAACAATTATGGAATCCACACAAAAAAAACTAATGAACACAAAAAATCTTCAGTTAAAAGGGAAAAGGAAAGACAGACAAAAATTTCCAAAAATATATATCTGTTTTACAAATGAGGATTGAATACAAATGGATCAATAATAAAATTTCTGAGGAAAATAAATTAGTCTAATTTATTATAATTTTTAGTCCTATCCAATACGATGAACCAACTATATTTAGAGGGAGTCGGGGAGAGTAAGAAAATGGCCCGGGTTAGTTGTTACATCTCTAACGAAATGACGATTATGAAGTGCCAAAATGTCCAAAAGAAGCCATGCTACTGCCAAAATATGCCTAATCTCTGCCTGCTCATAAAAACTTGGAAGAACGGCAGAAATAGAAATATTGAACACAGCAAAGTTTTGTATTCTCTTTGTTTAACCTGTTTCACAATTACACAATAAAAGGCGGAAAAATTAAGAAAATATATACAATGTTAATCAAGAAATATGATAGAAATTTTGGAGAAGGAACTCTCAAGACACGTTTAACATACAGTATTTCAGATTTTTAGTAGATTTTGATATATGTTAAAGAAAAGTGTGGTTAAAAAGATGATAAAAGTTGTGAGTCCCATAAAATACATGGTTAAAAACAAGTTTTAAAAAATGGGGTTCCAAGGGGGCTTCATAAACTTGGACATTATTAAAGGAAAAAGAAAAAAGCAAGAGCTATAAATGGCTTTACCTGGGTGGCATCCGAAGTCAGCGAAATAGAAGCCGAAGAACTCGAAGAAGAAGATAATGGAGAGAGGCCGACATTGTATGCCATAGTTCCGTCCGGCTGGAGTAGACCATAATTCCTCTCTGAAGTCGGGCCGGGTTTCATATCTTCATTAAACAAAGCAAATACATAAATTTCTAGTCTCTTGTTTGGTCTGAGTGGTGTCCCTTCATCTTTCATTTGCCTTCTCAACAGATTCCGATTATATATTGCTGCATTCTCAGCAGTTGCACCGGTTTCATTCGGATCACCTTTTGATGGCCAACCCGTTTCTGATACCATCACTTCTATCCCATCGTACCCCATTTTAGCCATGGAAAATATTACTGCATCTACTTGTGCGTACAACATGTTGTCATAATGTAGATTTGTGTTACGGTCTGTCATTCCTGAATTAGGGTTGAAAAGTACATAATCTAAAGAAACCCTAGTTGGATCATCTTTGTAAGCAAAATAAGGGTATGCATTGATCCAAAATGGTGCCTTAGTAGTTGCCAAAAACTGTAGAAACTGGGGCATTATTTCATTGATCTCGCTTCGAAAACTTCCTGCCGAAGGTGGATATGATTCTTCAAGCACTGCTAAAGAATTGGGAGTCGAAACTTGAATAAATTGATCTAACCCTAGTTTTACTAGGGCTGCATGAATGCTCACCATGGCTGGAACAAGATAGGTCATTAGGGTCGTGTCGTCACCTGTGAAAATCTCATTCCCAACGGCAATTCCTGTAATTCTTGTGGCTGGAAAATAGGGTCTAATATGGGTGCCTACCCATTGAAGAGCTTGCTGTGGATCCATCAATGTGGAAAGCAACTGGTTATCAACTGTGACAATAAGTTCAATGTTGGATTTGGCAAATGCTGTCAAAACTTGAGGATTTGTGTCGTAAATTCGGGCTTTAGTTATCTTGAACAATTTCAAGAGATTAATCACTTCACAAGGAGGTGGTAAATTGTTGCCTACTTGACCATAATTAATGCCGAGGGATTCTACTACTTCAAGAAAACCAAGACCTGTTCAATTCACAATTAACTGTTTAAATAAATTAATCACATAATCAAGAATATAATGAAGATCAAGGGGAGAATAGATACCTGATAAAGAGATAAGGAATCCAAGAAGAATATTTGATATCGCAATTTTTCTTTTAAGTTTTTCCATTGGAGATAGGAGAAATAATAGTTTTTGGTTCTGGAGAGAGAAGTGGAAGAGATTTTGAAAGCAAAAGCAAGTCTTTTTGGTTCCTAACTAAAAAAGGCGAGAATGGGAAACGTAATAGTGTGCAAGTAGAGGTATATATGGATGTGAATTACTTCCTTTGCAATTTTTTATATTTTTCTTCTTTCGAAGACGAGGTTTTAGGTTGCCTTGCCATCTTAATAACTACATATTTGTTGCGTATAATAGACACTACACACGAATAACTTTTCTTCTCCAATCCTATTTAGTTTTGTCTATTTGAGTCTATCAAACATATCCTAAGAGTATCCCACTAGACACTAATTGATATCAAAGATGATTGAAATTCAATCCTAAAAAGTAAATCAGAGTTAGAGTCACGAGTTCGAGTCACAAAGAGTGTCATGTTGATGAAGGAATTATTGGGTGCAAGAGCATCGTTCTTAAGTCAATAGGTAATGATGATAATTGAATACCATAAAAAGTTTAACATGAAACACCAATTAATTTTCAAATAAGATGATTGAAATTCGATCCTAACATATTCATCAAAGTTTGAATGACTTGGTCCCCTCATTTTCTTCGTCTCATAGACTCTTTTAGTACATCACTACCCTCCCCCACCATACACGCTTCCTTCGTAGAAAGGAAAAGAGGCAAACTCCACTAAATCGCTGTTAAACTATATATTTAGCCTTTCTGATAGTTTAATACTGTATAACCATAAGGCCAATTGATGAAGGAAAACACTGTCCCTCTTCCCTCTTATCCATATTACTTTGTCACCCATCAGCCCTTTCAATCTCTACTTTTCCAATTTTCACAAATTTTTACCTGCGCAAAATATTGTGTACCATATTGTTCAGTATGCAAAATATTATGAGATTATCTAGTCATTGTCTTGTCTAATAGTATGCGTTGGATAAATTAGTGCATGCATTATATTCCATTAATCAAAAACACGTGCATGCAAATGCTAGAGTAATGACTTACCAAATCATAGTACATGTATAATAATGTGTAATTCACAACTTACTCAAACGTAGAAAATGTAGAAATCAAAGGAGATAAAATGAAGCAACGTATGTGAATGCAAATCCCCTTAAGACGAATTTCATCTCCTACAGTGGTGCTAACATGATCAAATGGACGTCCATCTCATAAGATACAATACTTTTTTCAAAATTAATATAGCACACATTTTATCAGGCGAACCAACGCTTGACTGTACTCTTCTAGAATTGAAGATATCGAAACTCAAAATAATATGACAGAATTTAGAGAAATAAATAATTAGAAATCAATTAATTATATGGAATTGTTTTGGAGTGAAGAAAAATGGAATTAGGAGGGTCCTATGTATAGATTTCCACGTGTCTCTTCGAATAATCGCATGTTTTGTCAAACTTAATTTCAACCGTTAGATCGCATCATTTCATATCTAATTGTGTAGATTGCATCATCTCAAAAAGTCATGACTTTTCATCATGCACCTTGCTAAGTGATCACACAATTTCAAAACTATACGACTCTTTGATATACATCATTTGCAATTGAAGAGTCATAACTAGTCACATATCAATTGGAAGTTTTTTCAATTCACACCTGTAAATACCCCAAAAATTCCACCAGTATGTAGCGTGCAGTGTTACAATCGAAAATTCATTCTTTTGGTAGGAACCTCAACCACACGATCACTTAGATTAAAAAGTTTTTGGGTATCCAACTTCAGCTTCCACTAAATTGTCTGTATGAATTTAAATCCTCCAAGAGTTCACTATTGTTGGAAAAAAGTTTTCATACCTAAATTAATTAATTTACTAGCGAAAGAAGCAAACTTTATCCTGAAAAACTAATGAAAAAACCAAAACACAATGAATACAATAGCTTTTGAGGTCAATCTTTAAAAAATAATAAAGTTATGAGGACCCTTTTTCCCAAAGAAGACAAAGAAAACGTGTGTAAATTGTAATCTTTTTTTTCCCCGACATTTTAGTCGGAAATTCAAAGAGCAAAATTGCAAAGAAAACTAACATTATTTGGTAAGTGGATAAGGAACGGAATACGTGGGATTGATGAAACTTTAATGTCATTATCTAAGTTGTTTTTCTTTTTGTTTGCTGATGCAAAATCAGGCCCGAAATGATATTTTTTGTCGCGGAAAATTGTATTTTCGAACATGATCAAAAGGAAGTGTATCCTTGCCGGAAAAAAAAAAGGTTAGTTAAAATGAACCCAGTTGTTTTTAAGATTCGCAAGTGATTCTTAAGAAATTTTGTTTAGGCTAATCTACACAACCTCGATCTCTTTTGAAGTTATTCTTAAGATCTACAAAGGTGGAACAGAGATTTGTTGGGGGATCAAGAAGGAAACTGGAGACTCCAACAGTGTCTCCACTAAGAAAAAGTAAGCGAACTCGGATGGGATGGTACGTCATGATTTTTAGTGGCACGTAGTCTATCACGGACATTCTAGGCATGTCGGGCTTAGCCGTTACGTCTAAGAATTCTTGGCTTGGTAGGACTTGTAAGTTGTGGGTCGACTAGACCATATGGATAATCATCCAAGAAAAAATCCATAACGAGTCAGATTATGTTTGATTGGGGCATTAATGTGTGGCCTTCCAACACATTTTTTGACATGCTGAGAATCTAAGTCATAGGTACAATTTGAGAGTTGAGATACTTAAAAAGATTTAAGTAGTATTGTTGTTATGAAATATTACGATCTACAAATTTTAAAATACAGTTTCAAGAAAAATTGTTATGTTTAATTTTCAATATATAAACGGTTAAAAAAAGACAACGTATTTCGTTTATTTAGATGTGTGTCTCACCTAATTTCTTTTTCTTCTCTATTAAGCTAAACTAGTTTATGCCTTACGGACTGGTTCACCTTAAAAAGTATATTAAAATTTAAGTTAAAATTAATAATTAGTTTTTATTACACACTTAATGAGATCTACAACTTTTTAATTACAAATTCCATCACATTTTATCAAAATTTACTGAAAAAACTGATTTTTATCTAAATAGGGGCTTAATGTCAATGAGTAATCATTTTGATATTTCCACACTTCTACTCAACGCATCGAATTTAAGCCTATGTTTGATGCACATTTTGAGAGTAAGAATACATTTTTACTGTTGATATGATGGAAAATATGTGGTTTGAAAAAGAAGGAAAAATTATTGATGTGATGAAAAATATTATTTTATTGAAAAATGTGTAGTTGAAAAATGAGTAGAATAATGAGAATGAAAAAAATAATGTGGATCAAACAGGGGCTAAGTAAAAACTCCTTGCTCCGAATTTTGTCTGAAATAATAAAATTTTGACGAATCCTAAATGCATATAAATTATGATAAAGAAGTTAATGATCTCTCGAACCCATAAAATGATTTCTTCATAGTGGTTTTTTTAATGTCCCAAATATTTATGATACATTTGCCACATGTATATGATTAGACTAGATGTGTAATTAAGCGAATTACATTTGATCCTAGGCATGCGAGAAGAATAGGAATACAAGACAAAAGCTAGATTTGCTTCACAAAAGGACCTTTGAAAAAAGACACCCACTCGCTTGTATGTTAGCATCTTTGTCGTAAGGAAAATTACATAGTAAAAGATTACATAAAAATTCATTGACAACTAGCATCCATCTTTGGCAAATAAGCTCACACCTTTTTTAAGTTGTGGGTCTCTTTAATTTTAAAGTGAAAATAAGTTACATCTAGGTGGGGTGGCATACTTGTCCTTTCAGCTCCGAGTCCCAACCAGCACGACTTGGCAACAAAATGGAGTTTAACTCTGATAACTCTATGTACGAAATGTTGTGTTCTCCATGAAAAGAAGAAACTTTCCATGGCAAATGTTTCAAACAGTTGAATTCAGTGCCACGAGTTTTGCTAGAGCTAGAAATGCCCGCAAGCAAAGGTTAACCTTCCTTGCCCTCTTTGCTCAAGCTCGCTCGAAAAGCATGCTCATAATACACAGTGACGAATGCAGATATTTTGATTATGGGAACACAATTAAACTTACAAAAAAATTGTGAGGAATTTTACATTTGAAAATTTACATTCGAAAAAGTCATACTCCATGTAAAATTTTCTCATAAAATTATGTAAATTATATTGAGAAATTTGTTGCGTAAAAATAATAAACATTAATGAAATAGTTGAATATTTTTAAAAAGAACATGAATTAGACGCCTTTTTTTCGGCGATCGTTTGACAAACCTTTAACTATTTTCGATATCTATTTGTATCATTCGATATGTCTATGTAGTTCTTGAAACGAGTTTCGAGATGACGTATGCGATATATTTATTCGACTAACGTATGATCATCGGAGAATTTTTTAAGTTAGCATATTATCGAAATACTAGTTTGGAATGACCTACTTTGTCGAGTTATAATATTTGTTACGATTGACCGTTTCACGTGTCTTTAACAAAGTGAAAAACTAGATCGTCAACACTTCAAAATGATATTAATAATGCAATATTTTGACTTCGTTTGATATACTGTAATGACAAAAAAAAAAATTGTCCAAAACTTGGGGGTCACACAACCCCATGCCACCTCTTGTGTTTGCCAGTGGTAACACATCTCAAGTTGTCAAACATGTCGCCCCCTTTACTTGTTCATGACTTGAACAAATCATAACACTTTTAATACGAAGAAAATTAAAATCTTGTTCATTAAAGTATATTTCAAACGTGTAATAAGAAAATTTCGTCACTACACGAGTCCAAAGGCGATTTTTGACGGGTTTTATAGCTTTATGCATTTTAAGAATATGGGCCAATCCAGGACATAGCCACAGCGTAATGTCATTATATTGGTATAGGAGTTGAAAAAGAAATCTAAAAAAATTGAATTAAACTAGATGTATATCCTTGTTGACAACAACGATAACATCCTCCCTTATGTGGATTATGTGGAGGAAATTGGTGTAGTGATGTGATTGATGAGTTGAAAATCAAAATTGTAAATCTTGTAATGTGAAAAAGTGTAAAGAAAAGTGTATTTGTAGCAGGATTAAAATTTTTTTGCCTATTTCTGTTAGATTTCCTTAATAAGTTACGTGATAAGATAAGATGGTTAAAGAAATGAAAACCACAAATTATTAAATATTCTTATCTCTTTTCATGACATTCATGTGAAGTGACTAGCTTGTTAGATATTTCATTTAATGTATGTTTTACTTATAAT